GTAATTGCAAAATACTGTAAACTACTACAAAATCCTGCCGTCATGAAATCCAAACAGTGACGCAGCACCAGGTAGCGGAGAAAGCAAAGGAGTGAGGATGATCACTGAGCACTGGTGTGGAGCGACTCCAGGAGGCACCGCCCAGTGAAAAGCACGATGCGTGAGAGAGGCATGTGGACAGCTGTGTGACACGGCGCGTATGTTCAATGGCACTGAATCGTATACTTAAAAACAGTTAAATAGCAAGTTTTATGTTATATATTTTACAATAATAGTAAAAAAAAGAACATATATAGCAATATTAAATATTTTATGTAAGAAAAAATGTAAACTTAGAAAACATAAATATATCTGCTTATATTTACAAAAGGTAATATAGGAAGGATAAACAACCACCAAAAAAATATGTCCACGGTTACGGGTGGTGCTTGTGCAGCTCTGAGGCTCTGTCCACATGAGCCTGCTGGATGTGGTGAGCTGCTGCGAGCAGGCCTCACTTCTTTCCCGTTTATCTGTTTAGCATCAGTTCCGGTTCATGGATGCCTGTTTTTGATTCGTCAGTCCTGGAGTATCATTCCTCACTGTCCCCAATGATCTGGTGCTGACATTTGGGCCTAGATTTGATACATAGGAGCCTTCCTGGGTGACCCTAGGCCCCTGTGGATACCTGCCTTCCTCTCCCAGGTACCCTCTCCCCCAGTTTTAAAAAAATATTTCTTTTTTTGTATAATATTTCAGGCTAGTCTTGTACCTCACATACCCAGCCCTGGAATCAGCCATTTCTTTGAAGGGCCCTGGTTCTTATAGTGTGGAAATGATATTAAAGACCAAGATGTGGGTACTGGGTGTGCTGTTGGCATGTCTTTACTTCTAACCCCATCAGTGATCAGAGCTGGGAAATACACCTATAAACGTGCATGCCTGCATATGTATAAATGTGCATGCATTCATATGTAGAAACGTGCATGCATGCATATGTATAAAACGTGCACACATATATGTGTGGGTGTAACAAATCAATCCCTCAACATCCCGTCTCTTCCCATGGTCCCCACTCCTCGCATGTGACAGTGATGTTCTAAGGTCGTCTCTCACAGCTTCTGAAACCACTTCTTCACGTTTCTTCCCTGCTCTGTTCAGTGGGGTCATTTTGGTAGTTTGAAATTGCTCGCGGTGGGAGGATTTGCACATCGAAAGAAACTGGCACAACTACAGACCAGGTCTTCCCTCTCATCCCGAGAGCCATTTGTTAAACATGTGCACATTTACTGCACAACACTGTAGGCAGACGTATTTTCCCAATCTCTGTCTGGGGGCTGCCCTGGCCGGCCCACCCGAGGGATGTTGGGGTACCTCTCTCCCCACGGCTGCCCCCAGGGTCTGTTCTTCAGCGTTTTGCCAAAGTGATGGCTGAGCAGTGTAGCTCAGTGCAGTTTTAATTTGCATTTCTTTTTCTATGAATGAAGCAGAACATCTTTTCATTATGTTTAAGGACATTTTTATATCTCATTTCATGTCTTTTGCATATTTTTCGTTAGGGTTTTTGATCTGCCCCCCCACATTTAAAAAAAATTCATTTATCTATTTATATTATTTCTTAGTACATTAGGTTTATTATTTCTTGTGATATATGTTGCAAATATTTTCTTCCATCTAGTATTTGTCTTTTATGTTTCTCATGGCATTTTTTGCTATGCCAAAGATTTTTAATTATTACAAAGTCAAGTTTATCTATCTGTTCTTTTCTTTTAGTAGCTTTTTAATTTATAGTTAGAAAGCCTTTTCCTACACCCAGATTAAAGAGGAAATCACTCATGTTTTATTCCAGTGCTTGTAGAGTTTAATTTTTTATTAATTTACTTATTTTAATTCATTTTTAATATGTTGATTTTTTTTATATGGGATGTTTATTTCTCTATTTCATTAATTTCTCTTCTTATTTTCTTCCTTCTGCTTTTTGGGTTCATGTTTTTGTTCTTTCTCAAATTTCTATTGGATAATTTGTTCATTGATATTCAGCTCTTTTAATATAAATAAGCATTTGAAGTTATACATTTCTGTCTAAGTGCAGCTTGTTGCAGTGCACAGATTTACATATATATTACTTTTATTGTCCTTAACTTATAAATGTTATCTTGTTTCTACTATGATTTCTTTTTTGGCTTATGAGTTATTTAGAAGAATTTCTCAATTCCAAATACACAGAGCATAAAAATATGTAAAAATATACATTTATTTTTGAATATAAAATATTTTAAAATATTTTAGTTTCTAAGTTCACTGCCTTGTGGACAAGGTGGTTTCTGTGTTTGTGGTCTTTTGACTACAAACTTTTTGTTTGGGATAGCTCAAGGGTGGTCAAGTATCATAAATGTTCTGTGTATTTGAGAGTAGAATATATTCTGCAGTTTGGAGTATAAGTATTCTATATGTGGCCATTTAGTGAAGCTTGATAATCTTGTTAAAGTCTTTTCTGTTCTCATAGATATTTTTCTTTAACTGATGTATCAATCACTGTGATAGGTGTGTTCAAGTCTGCCAGTATGATGGTGAATTTGTCTATTTTCTTATATTTCTGTTCATTTCCACTTTATATAAAATGCTGACTCTTTGTTTTTAGGTGTATACAAGTTTAAAATTATTGCAGTAGCTTACTAATAAATTGAATCTTTTTATCTTTATGCCTATAATCTATCTCCAGTAATCCTTTTTGCCTTAAAGCAAATTATGTCTAATATATTTGCCCAGTATATGTTTTTCTTCCCATTCCTTTCAATATCTCTGGATCTGAATGTTTTAGGTGACTCTTTTAAAATAATATCTAATGGATTTTTGTGTTTTCCCCCCTGACAATCTTTGCCTTTAAAAGACCGGAATATACTTTCATTTATTTTAATTACTTGCAATTTGGACTCCTTTCTATAATCTTATTTTGGGCTTTTTATTTATTTATTTAAGATTTTTTTTTTTTTTTTTTTAGAGTTTTAGGTTTACAGCAAAATTGAGAGAAAGGTACAGAGTATTCCTATATGTCCCCTCCCCCGGGCATGGGTGATTACCCATTGTCAATGTCCCTTCATTTGTGATAGGTGATCTATCTGCGCTGACACATTGTTATCACTCAGAGTCCATGTTTTACATCAGGGTTCTCTCTTTTTTTTCTTCAAAGTGTTTATTTGTACCCATTAATCAACCTCTCTTCATCCTGGGCTTTCTATTTAGCTCAACTTTTTTATTTCTTCTCTTTTCTTCTCATTTTTTTGATAGACAAATGTGGTTTTTTTACTCATCTAGTTTTCTCTTTCACTGTATAATTTTGGTTTCTCTTATTTTTGTGTTTGTGTATACTTAATTTACCAGTGTTCAAAGTTAACCAGCATCTCTATACACATTCAAAAGAATATAAGAATCTTACAATATTTCATCTCTGATTATTCTTTCCTGACTGAAATACCATTTTCATCCTCTATTGTTGTATTTTTAATGCTATGCAGCCTTATTTATCATTGTACGCACTTGGCATCTGTTTAGATTTGCTCACATCTCACCATGTTCTTTGCTCTTCTACTTGTACTGCAGATGCTGCTGCCTCTAAAATGCATCATGGTGAGAGTGTTGGTAAAACAAAAAAAACCTTTTAAACTGAAACCTTCTTTATTTTCATTTCATTCTGTATTTTTAATGTTCAAAAAGTATTTTACTTATTAAGTCATTCTGAAATTGTTTTACCTAAGATATTGCTTTCCAAAATTAAACTTTAATGGAAAAATATTGGCATGTGGAATACCTTTCTTTAGAAAAAGCTTTGTTTACAAGTTCAGGAGTAGTGATGTATCTTTGTTAAACGTATATACAATATTATCATAATGCAAATATGTCACTAGAATAGTTCAAGTATACAGTAAAAGATTAATGCTGAAAACCCAAGAAAACTTTTAAATTGTATTCTGGAAATCTAATGTGTTGACTCACTATGTTATATCTTTACCACTGCAATCTTTGATTTTGGTGATAAATTCTCAGTGACTCATTTCTTTATCTGTGGTTGTTTAAGTTTAGTCTGCCAATCTACCAAAATCTGCCAGTGTTTCTATTTATGACCAGAAATTATCTCAGGTTTTTAGCAGCATTTAAAAAATATTTGCTTTTAATACAGCTTGAAAATGTTCATAGGTTTTAAATTTAGCATGACATCTTGTATCTTCTCCCAGCAACATAAACACCTAACTGATAATTGCCCACATATCCTACTGTGGAGTTTAGTGGAGAGGTGAAAACCTATAACAGAGAAACTAACAATAGCTCCTACTCCTTTTGGTTAAAATTCTGGGTGGGAGATTGTTTTTTATTCTATTGTCTTTGGCTTCAGCTTTCAGTATAAATAACACTCATTTCAAGGATTTTTTTTTTTTTTTAACTCCAGCTACTTTTAAGATCTTCTCTATATCTTTGATGTTTTATAATTTTACCATGATGTATCCAGGTATAGATTTCTTAATGTTTATCCTGCTTGGTATTATTCTTAGTATTTTTTTTTTACATCAAGCTTATTGAAGTATAATTTACATAGTATAAACTTCATCCTTTTTAAGGATACAGTTTTGTGAGTTTTGATAAACAGATGCAGATATTAGCTATCAGTACAATCATGATACAGAATATTTTCACCACCCCAAAATTCACTCACAACCCTTCTCTTGGACCTCTGGCAATCACTGTTTATTGTAACTGCAGTTTTGCCTTTCTCAGAATGTTATATAAATGGAATCATGTAGTATGTAGCTTTTTGAGTCTGTTGTCTTCACTTACCCATAATGCTTTTGAGGTGCATCCATATTATTGTTGAGTAACAATGAATGAATATATTTAATACCAAATTTGTTTATACATTTGCCGATTGATGGAAATGTGGAGATTACTGTTTTAGAGATTATGAATAAACCTGCTATAAACTTTCTTGCACAGGTCTTTATGTTGGTGTGTATTTTCATTTCTCATAGGTAAATACCTAGGACTGGGCTTTTCTAGATCATATGGTAAGTGTATGTTTAATTTTGTAAGAAACTACCAATGTTCCAAAGTTACAGCATGAGTTTGCATTCTCACAAGTGATGTACGAGAAAACGCCTGTTGCTTGAGAAATGGTCAGCACTTAATGTTGTCAATTTAAAAAATTTTATCTCTTCTAGTGGGTGTGTAGTGATATCTCATTGTAGTTTAATTTGCATTTTCCTGACGAGAAATGATGCCAAACATTTTTTCCTGCGTGTATTTGCCATCTGTATGTCGTCTTTGGTGAAGTGTCTTCAAATATTTTGCCCATTAAAAAATTTTGTACTGTTTGTATTTTTATTGCTAAGTTGTGAGGGCTTGTTACAGTCTCTGGATACAAGTCATTTATTGGATATGTGTTTTCTAAATATTTTCTCCCAGACTGTGGCTTTAATTTTTATTTTCTTAATGTCTTTCCAAAAAAAAAAGAAGTGCTTCATCTTAATGAAGTAAAGTTTGTCACTTTTTTTTCTTTAATGGTTTGTGTACCCTGTGTCTTACCCAAGAATTCTGAGCTATCTTCTATGTTTTCTCCCAGGAATTGTGTAGTTTTAGGTTTTAAATGTAGGTCTCTGACCTATTGTCCCTTTGATCCGTTCTAAGCCAATTAAAAAATATATATGGTGCAAAATATGGGTTGGGGTTCATTTTTAACACATGGATGTACATTTCTTTGAGCATTAAGAGATCTGTTATTCATTGACCATCTTTGCTCTTTCCTTAGTCGATCATTTGTGCTTGGATATACTTCTGGACTCTCTGTTCTCTTTCATTGTTGTATTTATATACATCCTATCCTTTCACCAATACTGCAGTGTTTGTTCAGTGTGGTTTTAGGGTAAATCTTGAAATCAGGTAAGATGAGTCTGTTTCAAAACTATTTTTCCTGTGAATGCCTTTGCTTTTCCTTATAAATTTTGGAGCCAGCTGTCAATTTCTACAAAAGCAGACTGCTGAGATTTGTGTGGGATAGTGTTGGGTCTGTCGATCAATTTGGGGAGAATTGGCATCTTTAAAAAATTTTAATTTCCATTTTATTTTATTTGTATTGAGATATTTATATACCATAAAATTCACCACTTAAAAATGTAAAATTCAGTGGTTTTTAGTATATTCACTAGCGTGTGCAACTCTCACAACTGCCCAATTTCCAGAACATTTTCCTCACCTTCAGACAGAGCCCCATACTCTTAGTAGTCATTCTCCATTCCCTCTCCCCTGGCTTCTGGCTGTAGCTACCATGTTTCCCCAAAAATAAGACCTACCCATAAAATAAGCCCTAGCAGGATTCCTAAGCATTTGTGCAATATAAGCCCTACCCCAAAAATAAGACCTGGTGATGGGTGCAGGTGATGGGTATCTGCACAACCCATGCATTTCGTCGCGAAGCAGTAAAGATGATGAGCAGCCCTTCTCATCTGCCCCATGGTGACAGCTACTATCCCAGAGGTGACCAGAAAGGTGCAGGCAGCCCCACCAACAAGGTCGGCTCCCCGTCAGGTCCTGGCCATCCTGTGCATGCTGTAAGCTGAGGCTTTGAGGGGAAAATAACACATCCCCTGAAAATAAGCCCTAGGGTATCTTCTTGAGGAAAACTAAATATACGACCTTGTCTTATTTTCAGGGAAACACGGTAGTCTACTCTCTGTTTCTATGGATTCGCCTACTCTGATGTTTCATGTTAATGGAATCATTTAACACTTGGCTTTTTGTGTCTGGCTTTTTTCATTCAGCATAATATTTTCAAAGTTCATTCATGTTGTAGCATGTATAAGTACTTCATTTCTTTTTAAATAATATCTCATATAGACAGGTCACGTTTTGTTTATTATAATTGATGGACATTTGAGTTGTTTCATTCTTTGGCTATTATGAATAGTGCCCCTATGAACATTCCTGTACAAGTTTTTTGTATGAACATATATTGTAATTTATCTTGGTTTTATACCTAGGAGTAGAATTGCAGTGTCATATTTTAACAATATGTTTAACTTTTTGAGGAAATGCCAAACTGTTTTCCTAAGATGTTGTACCATTTGACATTTTCATTAACAATGTGTAAGTGTTCCAATTTCTCCATATCCTTGCCAACACTTGTTTTCTTTTTTATTATTATTAATATATTATAGCTATCCTAGTGGGTAAGAAGTGGTATCTCATTGTGGTATTGGTGAGCATTTCCCTATTGAACTAGTGATGTTGAACATCTTTTCATGTGCTTATCGGCCATTCGCTTATTGGCCATCTTCTTTGGAGAAATGTCTATTCAAATTCCTTGCCCAGTTTTTAGTTGAGCTGTTTTTTCTTTCTGTTGAGTTATAAGAGTTCATTTTGTATTCTGGACACTATATCCTTATCAGAGATAAGATTGGTATAAATTTTTTCCATTTGGTGGGTTGTCTTTTCACTTTCTTGGTAGTACACACCTTTGTTTGACAGGTGAAAGTTTTAATTTTGTTGAAGTCCAATTTATCTAATGTTTTCTTTTATTGCTTATACTGAAGGTCAGAAACAGGTGCCTGATCCCAGGTGATGAAGATTTATACCTGTTTTCTTCTAAGAACTTTATAGTTTTAAGTCTTACATTTATACCTTTGACTCTTTTTCAGTTACTTTTTGTCTATGGTATGAAGCAGGGGTCCAAATTCGTCTTTTGCATGGAGCTATGCATTTGTTACACCATCATTTCCTGAAAAGACTGTTCTTTCCCTGTTGAATAGTCTTAGCATCCTAGTCGAAAACCATTTAACCATTGATGTATGGGTTCATTTCTGGACTCTCGATTCTAATTCATTAATCTTTGTGTTATATTCTTATGCCAGTACCAGATTCTTGAATCCTAGAGACTTGTATTAGGTTTTGAAATTGGCAAGGATGAGTCCTCCAACTTTGTTCTTCTTTTTCAAGATTGTTTTTGGCTATTTTGGCTTTTTTGCAATTCCGTATGAATTTTAGGATTGGCCTGCTCATTTCTAGAAATAAAGGCAGACCTGACAATGATGACCTTCAGTCTATAAGTAAATTTGGGGAGGATTGCCATGTTAACAGTATGAAGTCTTTCGATCCGGGAACATGCAATAGCTTTACATTGACTTAACTCTTAGGCAATTTCTTTCAAAAATATTTTGTAGTTTTCACAGTACAAGTCTTGTATTTTTATTAAACTTATTTCTAAGTATTTTGTCCTTTTCCATGCTATTATAAATGTAAGTATTAATTTCTTTTTTTTTCTTTTTTGTGTGGTGGGAGAGAGGGTCTTGCTTGGTCTGGCAGGCAGGCTGGAGTGCAGTGACATGGCCCAATCATAGCTCACTGCAGCCTCGAACTCCTGGGTTCAAGTGATCCTCCTGCCTTAGCCTCCTGAGTAGCTGGGACTACAGGTGTGTGCCACCATACACGGCTAACTTTTTTTATTTTCTGTTGAGACAAGTTCTTGCTATGTTGTCCAGGCTGGCCTGAAACTCCTGGCCCCAGGCAATCCTGCTGCCTTGACCTCCCACAGTTCTGGGATTACAGGCATGAGCCATTGCGCCTGGGCCTTAATTTTATTTTCTTGGCTACTGTATGTAAATACAACTGATTTTTATATATTGATCTTGTATCTTGCAACCTCACTAAACTTGTTTATTAGCTCTAATTATTTTTTTTTTTACAGATCCAGTCCATATCTTCCTTATTTCTTTTACTTACTTCAATGCTCACTAAGATTTCTAGTGTGAGGTCAGAGATTCTGAGGGTTGCCTTGTTTCTGCTCTTAGGGGAAAAGCATGCAGTTTTTTACTTTGATAGCCTTTTATGGGGCTAAGGAATTCACTGAGAATTTGTATCATGAATGCCAGTTGAATTTTGTCAAATGCTTTATGTCTGTTGAAATAATGTGTGTTTTCTTGTTTTTAATTTATAAGATGGCAAATTACATTGATTTTTTTTTATTGTTGACCTAAAATTACTGAGTTAAATTCTACTTAGTTATGATGTGTTACATAAAAGGGATTTTGTTAAGAATTTTTGCATCTATATTCATGAGGGATTTTGATCTGTAGTTTTCTTTCCTCCAAATGGCTTTATGTAGTTTTGCTGTTAAGATAATTTTGACCGCATAAAACTAGTTGGTAGGATCTCTTGAGCCCAGGAATTCAATGCTGCAGTGAGCAATGATCCTGGTGACAGAATGAGACTCCGTGTCTAAAAACAAATCAATAAACAAACAAAATTTTCTAAATGATCTATTTTGGGAGGAAATAACATCTTATATGGAAAGTCTGAGATTTAAAAAGGAATTATAAATAAGTTGTATGCATGTGTGTAAATCCACACATGCATTAAATGTTTAGAGCCACAAAGCAGGCCAGGACCAGTGGCACACACCTGTAGTCCTAGTACTTTGGGAGGCTGAGGCAGGAGGGTCACTTGAGCCCAGGAGTACCAGATTCCAGTGAGGTACAATAACACCACTCCACTCCAGGCGGGGTGACTGAGTGAGACTCTGTCTCAAAATAAATAAATGAAGATACAGCAGCCACAGGGCAAATGCCCTCTGGGTAAACAGCAAATGATAGAACTAAAATAAATGACCGTAGAGTCACATCAGTGGAAAGAGAGTAGAATTATAGAGTTTTAGGGTCCTGGGGTTGTGTGGGTGGTGTGTGAGGACACTATACCTCGATAAGTTAGGGAGTCATGTAATTAATTCTAGGGTAAAAAGTAAAAAGAAACAATGTATGAAGAAGTGGGGAGAAAAATCCAAAAGAAGGCAAGAAAGGAGACTTCAAGGAAACATAGGAAGATAAGGAAAGTGGAAAACACAGCATAAAGTAGTGAATAAATTCAGATATATCAGAGATTCTGATTAAAATTCTATAAATGTTGACGGGGCAGGTGATTTAAAAAGTTCCATCGAAAGAATCATCAGTCAGAACTCCATTGTCTTTTAGTGTTTGGTGTTGCCATGTTGCATTCCTGGGGTTCTCTCTCCCTGCTTGGA